TAATAACAGCTTTTCTGGCACATTATCGAATACACCATCTGTTGCTACTAATATAACATCACCATCCTTTACGGGAAAGCTGAGTGTATCAGCTGAATCTGGACTATCGCTAAGCACATTATGGCCGTGTCCTGGTGGAGGCAATGATAGTTGAAAAGGCGTATTGAAATAGTGTTGTTGCTCCTCTGATTTGTGTACGATTTCACCACTTCGTACCACCATGAAGCCACTGTCTCCGATATTCGCTGTATAGACTGTGCTATTCTCACGGTTCAGCACCAGCACACACGCTGTACTGCTGCCTGTAATTTATATAAAATAGTTTGATATAATAAATTACAGATAATATGTATGGTTAGTAAAGTTAAAGGTGTGAAAATAAAAGAAACTTTCTCTTTAAAAATTATTTTTTTGAAATTCATATAACACAGCAATAATGTATAAATTGTTTTAAATAAATTACCTATATTTATATAAATTACATGTTTCTAGCTTAAATAAATATTTTATTTATTTTTGTGTAGCAGTATTTTTTTATTTAAAAAAATTTGGAGATCTGCCAATTTTTCAGTTAAATACTAAACTCAAAGTAATTATAATTTAAAAATCTATTTTCAACATAACAAATGAAAAGAAAATGTTCAAATTTTTTAATTTTTAATTTATATATATTAAAATATATATATATACGAGTATATATATCTTTCATGATGAATGTGCACCTTCGTTCTGTGTTTTCTTGTTGAAATTTCGAGTTTATTTTTGTTATCAAAAAGTTTAAAGACGTATTTATAAATTACAAAAATAAAAAAAAATTAAAAAAAAAGAAATAAAAAAAACATTCATTATTTATTAAACAGAACAATTTAATATATATATATTTTTAAATGGAAAAAAAAATGTCTACAACAAAAACCAAAACAAATATTTCTTATCGCAGTGCATATATAACAACATTCGAAATATTAACTGATTATTTGTCAGGCGTCGTGATTGTTTACACAACTTCTTCACCTTAATTAATTTAATCGTATTTTTATTTTATTTTATTTCAAATATTTAACTAATTTAATTTTAATCTATTTATTTTAAAAGACTTATAAATGATAAAATTGCATTTGCCACAGCAGTGATCGGATATAGTCGTCGGTACTATTCTGAACTTACCTAGAATTGGTTTTTTTTGTTCTAACAATTCGCAATAACTATAAGCTAAGAGATTAACAGGTCGTTGTGGGTTAAAATTAACACAATGGACTAGACGTTCACATGTCTTCATGAGAAATGATGAAAACTCTCCGGGATCAATACCGTAACTACGCCATCCCCCAACGCCATCGGCAACGCCTGAAAATAAAAATAAAATATTAATATTAATTACATTGTATACAATTTGAAATTAAAATATAATTATTTAATACACAAATTTAATACACTTTAAAAAATAATATATGTATATATATAATATTAATATATATCAAATATATTAAATAAAATGTATAATAAATATAATAAAATAATATTGTAATATAATATATAAATAATATATATATATATAATATATTATAATAAAATATAAATATATAATAAAATATAAAATATAAATTATTATATATAGATGTTGTGATTTAGACAAAGATATTTTTAATTTTTTTGTAAAATATTTTTATTAAAAATTTGCTTTTACCAGAGACAAACTCATTTAAATATATATTTTTATATATATATTTTTAATAGTCTTATATATTTGAAGACTATATAAAAACATAAAAACAAGATATTTAAATTTATAATCACATAAATATAAATATTGTTTAAGTGCATAACAATATAATAAAGTAATAGAATATATAAAAATATATAAATACATAAGCATGTATACATATAGTGCGATTTCGATCCCGTGTACGGTAATTTGACAACGGACTTCAGTATAGTCAGATATTTTTAGCAACTTTATTCACTATTGTGCCTCGTAAAACGAAATAGTACCGTAGATCTAATGCTGATCTAATTAAAATATGCTCCAAAACGTATCCATAATTTTTTTCTTAGCCTATTAGAATATAAATAGAAAACTATGAAGAATTAAGAAAAATCGAAATAACCAAACTCTAATTTAATCTGACTTTCTAGGCAGAACTAAGATTGTTGCAATTTTCACAGGCCACTACCTAATGGCCACCCATACCAAATCATTAGGTATCCCCGGCAACCTGAAATCTAACCAACCTGAGACCTGGTAAGATTGATTTATTTCACTATGAATGATGAGTGTGGAACACCTTATCATCTTATGATATTTATACCTTAATGGCACAATAAAGAGTTTATTAAATTTAACAAACCAAATAAAAATTATTTATTTTAGTAAATAAAATTTTTATTATTTAATAATAAATTACAATTTATTTTATTATTAACAAAATAAATTTTATAAATCGCGAAGATTCATTTTAAAACTATACAGTGCTAAAAAGACTAACCAGTTGAAACCCATTTTAAAACATTGGGTATCCTGTCCAACCTCAAATACAGAAGCTACAAGGAAGAAGAAAAAAAAGAAATAACATTGGTATTCCAAATGCTCACCTGACAAGATTAATACATTCTTCTATGGCAGTCATCATACTAATAAGCCTTGAAGACGAAATACTCTTCAAATAAAATAATCTGCTATATCAACCATTAAAATTTAACTGTGATACTGATAGACTCTAGATATTGGGCACTATAAATCGAAATATTCTCCTCTGATTCACTGAACAAGTTTTTTATATACCCAGATCTGGATTGATATATTCCATATTAATTACCCTGACAAAACAAATATTCTTCTGTATCAATCGCAAATGTTGGTTTTAAAACTTAGACTTTTATATTCGGGTCTGTGATGAAAAAACGGCACCTTTGCGGTACTTAGACAGAAATGGAACCTCTGGCACTACTAATATAACTAACTATACACATACATACAAGTATGTATATATGTCTAAATATTTTATATTATTATGTATACCTAATTGTTATCTAATTACGAATATATCAATGTACTTTTATAATCAACAGAATTTTATAGATTTTTTTTATTGATCAAAAAAAGAAAAGGTAATTAACTACTTAAAAAAATTGGACACATTATTTGATAAAAAATTTCATTTGAAATAAATGAACGCAATAATAATAGTTTTTAAAGGTTTGGCCTTATGTCAAACCAATTCAATATAGATTACAAATAAAAAAATTAAAAATAGATCAAAAGTATATCAAGGTCAATACTTAAAATATTTATTTAGACTTTCACACAGACATTTTTTGACATTATTAAAGTCTTTAAGTAGTACTGGATCATAAAGTAATAATATCATGCGATTTTTTGAAAATAAAACTTTATAAATAATTCTGTAATTACATAAATGACTTTAATAACAATTAGACTACATTACGCATTAGATAGTAAAAACAAAATATATATATACGTATAATATATTATAACATTATTATCTCGGTAAAATATGAAAGCAGGGAGCCCAGTTATATGAAAGAGGTAAGATACTTTACAAAAATCACACAAGAACGGACATGAAAATTTCATTAACAAAGAAGGATTATGCAGCGGACATAAGACCAAAGAAAGAAACGACACATGCAATCAACGGTAACTTACAAATATTTTCTTCTGTCCAACATCAGATCAGGAGTCATATCATGTGGCTGACTTTATAAAATTGTATCTACACACACTGCCATCATTGTGATAAAAAACGAGAATGGATTTTCCTGAGTATAGTTAATAACCTATAACAAAAAAACCGTTGTGGAAATTAATATCCGAACCGGGTCGTCTAGTCAATGATGATGATTATGGCTACTTCACCTATGGACTAATTGAACAAAGCTGTACAGTATTGAATAGTAGGTAAGAGTGCAGTGGCAGTCTGACCTATGGCCGATAGGTCTTTAATATAAAGTTTAAGAGGCAAGGGGTGATCTATACCCTTGACTCCTCCCCTTTATACTTCAATGTGATGATATATATTGAGAAGCGTACCTACTAGAAGAAGACCCTGTTTTTAGTAGTTCTCTTAGCTATCTGGGTCGCATCCACACTTCAAGTGCCCATTGGCTTGAGTCTGCCCACCCTTGCTGTTTTGATATATTACGAGAAGCCCTATCTTTGATATACTACGCGAAGTCCTTTTATTCCTCTAGTTCCCTTAACCGACTTATAAAACCTTAAGCTGCGTTATATTAACACTATTACTGCAACTAACATTATGTATATAGTAAATTGAATGAATACAAATAACTCTCTTGAATGATTATAACGTTCTCTTTTACTCTGAATCAATTATGCTTTGCACGCTACTAATATGAAAGCAAGACGAATACAAAGTAAAGAATAAGCTTGAAAGAAAAGAAAAATATACTTGAATAAAAAACCTGGTGATTATTCCAAATCGCTGTTAATATAAGATTTATTTAGGTACACAATTATAACGAGAAGAATAAACTCGAAATGGGAATGATGAAGTTTAGACAATAGCTCTGATATAACGAATGATTGAGAGTAATCGGGTTATGGAAAATTAATATATTCAAATATATACGAGTATTTACGATATAACTGGAATTATCTACTTATTCAATCAATTATATTTGAAGAAAACAAAACAATTGGAATACTCACATTAATGACTTGAGTGTATGTATGTATGTAGTACTCTGATAATAAAAATTAATTTAACACCTTAGGAATGTTTTAATTATAAAATTAATTTGTCAAATTTTTATATTTTATTAGCACTACAGTGAAGGTCAAATTAATTTCGGAAATACTTATACCTATATCTATATACCCATATATATATAGTACTTAAGATACTTGCAATATAATAATTTAATATTATAACAAAAATATGATAATAACCGTATGTAACCTTGATACTCGTATGAAAATAGCTAGTCATAAATTTGTTATTAAAATATTTTATTTATTGAAAACATTTTAAATAATTGAAAAATGAAGTTAATTGAATTTCTAAGAAATTATTTATATAATGGAAAATTTTATATAATGGAAGATTTTCTTTTCATTTTAACTTAAGATAACACGAAATTGAAACAAAGTACGTAAAATGAAACTAGATGTGGTTACGAACTGCTATAGAGAGAGGCATAGTTTGTTTGTTTCCCAGACGAAATACATGGAATAATAATACTTTATAGGGAGAAGGGTTATAAAGCACCTAAGCTCCTTATACAGTTAATCAGATTTTATTACTGAACATACACTATTAGTCTCTATCAGCACGCCGAAATTAACTTATCAGCTGCATATATTCTTTGTATTATTGTCAGCGATGAACTGAACTTCAAGGTAACTAACCTCCGATACATTTTTAAATTTATATTAACAGATTTAAAGTGTGGAGAGATCATAATGTATTTCAACTAAATATTTATTATGTTAGCTGTTATTAATATAATCCAGAGAATACAACCATTTGTAGTCTGCATAATGACACTTTTTTGACCAGCAGAATTTGAATTTAAAAACTAATTTATACATTTAATTTGCAAAACTGCATTAAACCAGTATTAACCAGTTCAACTGTAACTTCATTACGAATCATTTGAGTATGTCCCCGTACCCATCACACCTCTTCTGTATTTGAGCTGTAATGAAATTTTTTTAAATATTTCCAGATGTTTTCGTCACGTGTACTTTTGATCGTTAGTGAAATAGATCAAGTCCAATTTTATAAATATATATACTATAAGAAAAAAAATTACTAATTAAGTCAACAAATGTGTTTATATATAACCCATAAAAAGATATTTGCAGATACTGTATAATAAATAAATCTGTTTTAACTAAAATTTTTAAGTATACAATATTTATAAACAGTTCTTCAAGTTATGTGAAGATAAAATAAATCATTTCAAAATTATTTAAGCAATGAGCAATGAAGCAGTAGTGAGTGTTAGAACCAGATTTTGTTCCAAAATATCTTACGAAGCATTTTCTATATGTATATCACAGAACAGAACTTTGACCGCATATGATGTCAGATAAACAATAAATAATACATTTAACAAATATTGCACTGAAATGCTAATATTGTATTTAATTGTTATAATTTATTCAAAAATTGCTAACGAAAGCTAAACAAATTCATAGACGGCGCGATAAGTAATTATTTAGAAATTAGAAGGTGTGATAGGCTGCTTATGAGTCAAACTTTATGGATGATCTAAACCGTTGATGAACGAGCGCATCGAAGTAATTATGACCGCTTTTTGTGTTCAGGCGTTACACTTTTAGCTTAGAACTTTTTTTTAGAACTTAATTAAACTCTTCTTATATAATCAATTATATACCATTTTATTATTGTAATAATAATTACATATTTTGTTCATTTAAATGAAGTTTAATATATTGTTTGTAAAATACAAAAACACTAATAATGTGACTAAATCAACAAAGTTGATAAAGCTAACGAACATCACATATATGGGATGAATAATGAGTTGTTATTAAAAAAATGTACAAAAAATGTACGCCATATATATTGTTTATAAATGCCAATCATACGTAGGACTAATTTTAATTTTTCTAAAATTATAGAATATAAAAAAAAAATTATATACAAACGTTGCATTAATAAATAATCGATCAAATCAAATCTTTCAGGTGTAAAGCAAATCTCTAACCGAGCAGCAGTGGCGTGTACCAGGAGGGTAGAAGTTTTGGATTTTAAGTATTTCCTACAACATGTAAGACTATTTCACAATTGATTTGACTTACATTTATCAAACAAATCTTCTCATATAAACTTTTGATAAATTAATAATTTAATGAGGGATTAAAATATCCGTTGGAACAAGTCTTTGCTACATAATAGTTATCGAAGTGAAAAGAAGTCTCATAACTTCCAGACAGAGACACCATTCCTTTTTGTCAGACAGTTCAATCTTCTAAAGAAGAAACCGCAGTCAATGATAATTCATTATATAATGCTTTAGCAACCTCAGTCCTCACTTACATAACACATATTTTATTCTTTCATATTAAAAAAAATCGATAAGAATATCTAGTCATATTATACAACCATGCAAGCATTTTTGTATTACTGTTGATGTAAACGGTCTTATCAAGTTCCCGACTGTAGAGGAGGTATTTGAAACATTTTTTGCACAATTTTTTAGTACAATTTCCAACCCAACCAGAACATGGTTTCTTGAAAAACAACTCTCATCAATGAGTATATATAATTTTCCACTTCTATTCTTCACGGCAATATTTTACACAACAACGAGTACATACCTATCTCTTAACCTGATATCCTACTATTGGACCTAATTATTTAGTTCTCAACGGAAGTGGCAACAGCATTTAGAATATTTTTTATATAAAGAAAATTAGTATATATTAAACAGCAATTTGCTGCTGTTAAAAGAAGTAGCACCAACCCCGTGGCATTAGAGTTATGGATCCTGATATTCCATAAATTTAATGATTCCATAATTTCTCTATGATTTCCTATGATTTTTCAGAGCAAGACTTCTATATATCTCGCACTTTTCCATTAAGAGACCGCAAGCAATCCAACGTTGACTTCCTGATACTGTAACCACGGTATTTCAGCAATCAGTAGTCGCATCTAGTCAACTAAAATGAACACATCTTTTTTGGTACTTAAACTGAATTCTTAAATATCGAATATTCTATCTCCTTATTCAATATACTTTTATTTAAACTTAATTAAATTTTTTTTCAATTGAAAAGAGAAAATAAAGGAAAAAAACAATGAATGTAAATATTATCCACAAAAAAGTTTTTTAAATAGTTTATGTTTGTATTATTATTATTATCGTTATTATTATTATTAGTGTATTATGCCTAACGTAGGGTATTTAAAAATATCGTGATAAGCTGTTGTTGCAACGTACTATGTCACGAAAGAGCAAGGGGTATCTGCTGTTACATCACTAATAGTAAAATTATAAAATTTGACAAGGTCTACTTAAAATTTGAAGAAAAAAAGTGTATAAATTCTTTGAGTTAGACTAATAAAATATCAAAAAGAAATGATTTTTGGTCATAAGATTTTTGCCATGAGCCTTTAAAGTGGTTGTAATTGTTGTATTTACAGAAAATATGTTTTACGAATTTTCTAATGTACTAATCCAATAGATCGAGATGGCATTCTGCCAGAAATTTTCACCTATTGAAAATCACTATTTTAGTTTTGAATAGAAAATTAATTATTTTACAGACAAATGGAATTATTCTCTGAAAGATCATATGATTTCTAAACATTTATAATTTATTTAAACAATAAATTACAATGGGCAGAGTCGTTAGTCCTGTCAGAAATAAGTTAAACTCGCAGGCATCCAAATCGTAATTTATTATTTACGAAAAAGAGATTAGAATTAATGTCGATGTAAAAAAAAATGGTCCTGAGTTTACATCTATTTAAACTTTAGAAGAACTTGTCAGCATTTTTCTTCTCACACGACTAACCTATTTAGATTGTCTTAAGTCTTTGGTCCATGGTCTTGCTAACAACTTGTATTTCCACTCACAATTTAATTTTTATATATAAGGATTGATGCAGTCTGACAAGTGAACATTTAGGAAAATAGATATTCCATAAAAAGTCAAGGCAGAGTTCAGACATCCTTCTTTGAAAAATTGTCAACTGCGAATATCACCTGACCAGATATCCAAACAAATACTACGAAAGAATACATTTAAGTCAATTTATATAAGAGATTTTTTCAACTACGGACCAACGTGGATATAATAGCACAAGATTGTTTAAATTTTATAGATTATAGAATCTGATTACGCAAATATATGATAATGTTGGCGTTGTATGGTAAGAACTACTGCCTGAAAAACTATAACCGCTAAACTGAAACTGAGTTCATGAAGTCAACAACATTATATATATTCATGAATTTCAGAAAACTTAAACAAAAAAAAAATTAGATCAAAATGAAAAGCGATCAGAATTGGACAAATGCAATATTCTCCTTGAGACCACAGCTGCACTGCAACAAAGTTCTCTATTCCCGGCATAAAATTTCCGATAGAGAAACACGCCTTCCCTTTGCAGCAAGAACTGTATATACCCTGAGTTCAGGGTATATCTATTTGCTAAGTAGTAATTTGTCACGTATAAATGCAACAATTCCCAATGTGTGCCTCAACTGCAGCTCTACCTCTCATGATGTCACTCATCCACACTAACTCGAATGAGGTCAATCGATATTTGTACCCGCTCAATTGATGTGGCTAAGTTTCTCCATTTTAACTTTGGTTGACTTCAATTTTAATTTTACTAATCCTCCAATTGGATTTCACTTCATAATAATCCCCTTCCCTTTTACACTCTCCATGCACTTCCTAACCCATGTATTCATCTATGTTATCTGCTTTACAGATCCCTGCGGTCTACAACAAAAGCAAGAATTAAAATTGTCTAACAGAAGAGGAGTTGTGTTCCAGCATGTCAATGCCAGACCCCACACAAAAGAACCCAAAAGGAAGAAATCTATTTTGGAAGTATTATTGCATTATTATTCGTATAGCTCGGACCGTGAATTATATGACTATCATTTGTTGCGGTCTCTACAACAATTTCTTATTGATAAAAAATTGGGGAGTCTCTGCAGCACTTTCTTACTTATAAAAAATTAACTATCCGAAGACCCCCAATCACTTAGCGGATTTTTTCAAACTGCAGTAGTTCTTCACCGATAGAATTATAAAGATAACCGAAAAAGAACAAGAAATCATAAATAATAATGGCCAATAAAAACTTTATAAAAAAATAATTTTCAATAAAGAGAATTTTAATAAATATGTAATAAAAAACGCCGAATACTTTTTATATCACCCATTAATTAGTATCATAACTGTTTCATATCTATTTTATTTATCTGTATCCACTTGTGTTTAACGACTTTTATGCTACTCCACTTAAGTGATACATTCTCTTATATAACACTTTCATTAATGTATGTAGGTATATACATATATATACACATATATGTATGTATATATACATATATACAGTAATAAACATTAATAAACTGAAATTAAATGTTTTACTTGAGCTACATAGAATTGTCAATAAACACTAAATCACACTGTCATGCTAAGTATAGTGCAGTGCAGTGCAGTGCAGTGCAGTGCAGTCCAGTCCGAAGGAACTGCCAACAAACCCGGTGCAAAGTACACATTAAACATGTTCAGCTTTCACGTCGCTGCATTGATTAAATAAAAAAATAAATAAGAAAAAAAATAAAAAAAAAATTTTAAAAAAAAAATTAAAAAAAAAATTTAAAAAAAAAAAATTAAATAAAAAAAATTAAATAAAAAAAACGTGTAAAAATGTGCGCATGTAGTCCAAATGTGTGAAAAATTTTAAGATTAAAGACAGTTCCACTAGTGTCGCTGGAACTACCACCAGACAATCCACACATGTTTTTCATGCTGGGATATTTGATACCCACTCATCCTTAAAGTGTGTCGTCTTCGAGAAACACAGAAACACGTTGTCTTAGCTCAAAATTTCCGTATAAAAAAAACGAGGAACATTAAATAGCGCAGCACTAAGCAAATAAAGCGTAAATAATCTTAAACAAAATATTGGTTGATGGGTTATCTTTATTGCTGCTTCTATTTGCTTTAGGTATCATATATATTTTTATGAACTGTTTTATTTCGTGTTTTTTTTTTTTTAATAAATAAATATATATTATCGTATTCTTTATATGTAGAAACCTTCATATAACGAAATAAAATAATATTTCGTTATCCAAATTTATAAATTTTACTTACCAATTACGTCCGCCGTATTGGTGGAAGTCTTGAAATATGAGTCTTCTCCATATTTGCCTGGTTTGTAGCGGGATGTTAGAAAGTCTTTGGGGAAACCACACACGACCGACACGAAATGTGGTTTTGATTTACTGGCGTTAGGAGTAGGTGCACTTTTATTGGCGGATTCCACTAAGGTCGAGAAACCACTACGCAAAGCACGCGAGATTAATCTCGAAGTCCAGCTGAGTGAATGCATGCTACACTACTGCGTCTAATATTATTTTTATTGGTTTTTGTTTTTATTCTCAATTCCACATTCACACTCACATTTGCAAAAAAAATTCAATTCACATTCAAAGCAATTGAATTCATACTATTAACGTTTTTATGTAATTTTATTTAGGAAAAAAAAACACTGATTTTTCGTGCCAATTTTCTTTTTTTTTTTTCTTTTTGTATTTTTTGCCACACACTTTAATACGTCAAAGTCACAAGGGAAGCGAAAATGTGCTCAAAACGGATTATGAAAGTTCATTTCGTTTAAGATTTCGATTGAAAAGTCCGTGACAAATTGTTTCGTTTACATAACTACAAATTTACTTTAAATATATTAGAACATCGATTAATGTAAAATTACTTATACATCACTCATCTTGCCCATGTGACAATTGTCCAACGAGTTTTCCCAATGAAAATTGTGAAATGTACGAACTACGCGTGAGACCAAAAATTTTTGACTGCAGAAAAAAATTGTATTGGAAAATTACTTGGTTTCGTTTGACAGGGTTGCCAAGACAATAAAAATAAAATGGTATCAATGTTAATTATTAATTAAATAAATGACAGATGACAGGTGGACATAATAAAATTAATATAAGCAAAATATTGTCATACAGAATTAATGACAACGAAAGGTTTTCATACAGAATTAATGGCAAGAAAAGTTTTTCTTATAAATAAATTAATGACCTTGACAGGTTATCATACAAAATTAATGATAATATTATACATGATACATGAGAATAATTTTTAATAATCAGCTAAACGATAATAAGATTATTAAAATAAAGTGGCTAATAAGATTATTAATAAAAATTTATTAAATTAAATTATATATTTTATAAATTATGATAAATAAATGCAAATTATATATAAATCATATATATCAGAATATTTATATTTTAAAGGATATATCACAATGGTTAAATCCCAGTTATTATAGAACTGATACTGATTTTCACAATTAGGCCGCGTGAAAAAATTTTGATCATTTGGACAGGCTTATTTGATTATTTGGATTTTTATAAGAACGGTTATTTAAAGATTTTTTTTCAGTAAGCTTTATATTAATATAACTTAATTTAAGAGATATCGGAGTTTAAAATTTTTAAATGGGAAACAGCAACAATGAGTAGACGTCGTCATATGGTTGTATTTTGTTTGAATATTTACATATATTTAAATTCAATGAAAATATTTATTTGAAATGATTAAAGTACATATATTATTGAATTTATTCCGCTAGGAACACAAACAGCGCGAGACAAGATTTAAAATAGTAAAATGTTTTAAATTATTCAATGAAAGATTTGAAAATATTGAATAATAATACTAAATGATTAAAACATATATATATTCGCTAAAAGTGTCATAATTTAAAAATGATCAAAAACTTATCTATTTCATTTAAAAAAAGTATAAGTATATATTATCTGATAACATGTTTACATTGCAGCTAAAATCACTTACGTTAATAATATTAAGACTTGGGCGTTTCCATTGGCATTAGCTGATTTATGCATGTGAAGCAGCTTGTTTTTTTACATTATTCTTATGAAACAAGCAACAGATATTTTATATTTTTGTAATTGCTTTTGTGTGAAATTTATCTTTAAGGGTTACATTCGACATTCTTCGCCTTCAATCAGGTGATTTATTTGTAATAACTCCATTTATGTTAAAGCTATTTGTATTGTAAACTATCCTCATTAGCATTAATGAGTAAAACTGCCTAAATAAGACAATAGAAACACGGTATAAGAAAGCATTATTAATAGATTCTGAGTATCGACTTTTTATGAAGTAATATATATGTAATATGTATATCATAAATATTTCTTATATATTTAGTGTAATTTTTAAAAGATTACAAAATTCATTACGTACATTTAAAATATATAAAAAATAATATAAAATTATTGTAAGTTATTAATAATTTGCCACATCTAAATCAAAACATTACCTTAGCCATCCCTTCACATAAATTTGACGTTTGGGTGAATACTGCACTATCGACATTGTTGCTAAAAATTTCGCGGCTACGTTTATTAGTTTTTAGGCTTCTTTTGGTTTATAAACAAAAAATGGCAACAAAACGTAATAACTCTTAATATTGTTTATAATGAATTTTCTTACTAACAAATTTATAATTTTTAAATCATAAACATTTTAGCCGACAAAA